TTAATACAAACAATTTATGGATAAAAAGACCGGAACTCCTGTACAAAGATATTGTCGAGTGCCCAAAAAGTAAAATAACCTTAGAAGATGACTCAAACGAATATGTAAATGCTATGACTGAAGCAAAACATGAACCAATTCCACCTGATGTGAACAGATTTTCACAGATGAAAAGTTGGACGAGGTATTCACAAACAACAGCTTGGTTATTACGATTTGTGAACAATGTTGTAACGAACTGTTTTGTCTGCTTCCGCTCGTCACAATGCCGCGGCTAGCTCACAGAGTCTGCGGGTTAGTTCCACCGAATTTATAGTTCGACGCGATTGCCCGAGCCCAGAAATAATACAAATAGCTTTTATTTTATGCAGTCTCTTTATTTGCTGCTCTTTCTATTTACAATGATATTTTGACCTGGTTCCCGAGAACGGGCCCCACTCCGAATACTCGTGATCCTTGGTGCCTTCTTTGGCCGTCCTGATGGTCTGCTCCGTTGTTACTGTTTCGTCGCTGCTTTCGTTGCCGGGGGTTCCTCTTTGGTGTTCTTTCGTCAAGCCTTCCACCTCTTTGACTTGGTCTGGTCTGGACTTCGGCTGCGCACTGACAGGCCTCCACTAAATTGCCGGTGATACCGCGCCTACGCGCTGTACCGCCGGGCTCGGGAGTTGGCGGGCTGTAGCCTCTGCTACACCAGGAGAACGCCGTGCTTTGCGCGCCGGCGAGTCCGGTTTGGGAGATAGCTACTGACTGTCGCCTCCGCAACACCAGGAAGACACGCCGTGCATGCGCACCAGCGGTTCAGAGTTTGCTGCCTACAGTCGGCTCCGCTACGCCAGGAAAACGCCGTGCAGGCGTGGTACCGTTGCAGGACCACGCCTGTTGGTTGTAAGTCAGGAGTCAGTGTGGCGTGCGCCAGACTTATCCTTTCCTCACTTCCTTGCAAGGCTACCTGCCGGGGCCAGGAACTGGTCCAACTCGTCTCCTGTCGCCTAGGTCTTTCCAAGGAATTGTCCCAGTACAGATCCTTTCTCGTTTTGTTCGTTCTGTTGCTGCTCGTTTTTGGGCTGTTGGACTCTCCAGAGGCGGTCCTTCAACTTAAAACACCGAGTCCCTTTTTAGAAACGCTCCAACGCTTGAATGTCAGACTCTCCAAAGGCGGTCCTCCTTGATCTGCTCCAATGGGCCCCCCTTATATGCGAATCGGAGCGCGCGTTAATTCTTCTGGCTCGACAGATCACGCCCCTTTCCCGTTGGCGGGCTGCCGTTACTCCTGCTTCCATCACGCCACTTTCCCGCTGGCAGTCGGCCGTCCTTGCGGACGTTGCCCCTTTCCTTTCGGCCGCTGACCCCTGCTGTTGCTATGCGATACGCCGCTGGCCTCCTTCGCCTCCCCCGTTGTCTCCCCCCACAATGTCAAACTTAATAAAGAACATCGAGCTTGTGGCGAACGTACAGCAAAGGAATTAAATAATGCCAAAGGCCTAATTTAAAAAAAAAAAACTACAATCTGATTCCTTTCAAACTGAAATTCAAAGCGTACAAAAAAGAAAAGCCTTAGGGTTTCAAGTTGTCTAAAATCATTGCCACTGCATTTATCCACTGATGGATTGCTTAGATTGAAAGGTGGATTGGATCATTTAAATGATGATGAGTATGACATGAACGCTAAAAATCCGATTCTATTGAGTAATGACCACCCAATAACTACACTTCTAATCTATTCCTATCATCAAAAAAACTGTCACATTTGTACCGAAACCGTCATTTCCAATTTGCAAATGAAATACTGAATAATAAAATGTAGAAATTCGGTCAAGAAAATAATTCGTAATGGCCAATTTCACGAAAGAGCATGGACATTCAATCCCCCTTTGTATCCTCATATGGGAGGAGCATGGGAAAGAATTATTCAATCAGTTAAGAAATATACCATAGACTATAGAGAATATACTATAGACAAACTATAGAGAATCTTTCCAATGTGATGTGTCGGATGGAGACATGAAATTGTTAAACATGTAGAGGGCTTCTCAAAGACTGGCTGATATTTTTTGGGTTAAGTGGAGAAAATAATACAGACAATTTTTTGGACACCATAGAAAATATTTATGAAAAATGTTTTACCGACGTTGTTTAGTACATGTTTCTGGGTACTTATTTAAATTTTTCCATAAAAAAATATTACATAATAAAAATGGTATAGCCGAATTCCCGGATCGTCTTTTTTCGATGGTGTCTTGCGATGGACATGATATCCCAAAAACGGTTCATCCGAAATCGAAAATTCAAAAAAATTTAGTTAGTATATTGTGTTGTAAAAATTTTGATTAACAAAAAAATGGCAACGTTTTTAACAAATAATGGACTTTTTCAAGGTATAAGATTTTCGATTTTTATGCTTTAAGCATTTAAAATGATTAAAAAATTGAAAAATTGAAGATTATAATTGAAAAATTGAAATCGTTTACGGACTAGCTAATATCATAATTGTCGGGTCAAGCAGCAGCACGGCGTTTAATGTTTATGTTTAAATAATGTTTATGTAATGTTTAGTGTAATTATTAGTGTAATGTTTATTTATTAGGCTTAAGTTTGTACAAAGGCTTTGTTGATCGCAAGCCGACTCTTTCTCGGCCGCTCGACTCAACAAGCTTTCCATAGAGAGTTTAGCTCGGCAATGTCTAGGTCGGGCCGCCCTCTCCACTTTCGAGAGCTTTAGCTCGAGGTGACTTGTCGGGCCGCCCTCTCTCTGTATTCACTTGAGTCCCTGCATGCACCATAAGCTGGTCTATCTGCGGATCATCCGGCTTCATCTGCATGCAGGAATAAACATTTTTTATAACGTTCAAAAGTAACAAATTCGTCTTTTTTTTTACGGAACTGAAAACGCTCAATGACCAAACAATAATAAATAAGTGGTCAAAGTTTGGTGTCGATCGGATTAGTAGTTGTTTAGTAATCGTGTCCACCGCAAAGGTAATTTCCCAAAAAAAAGATTCTGAGATAATCGCGTTTAAAGTTTCAAGTTTGTTCAAGTTTTATATGCAGGTAGTGCACTATAAATAGCTACAACTTCGGTTCTAATGCTCCGATCGTTATAAATTTTTGTGCAAGTATTCTTAACAGTAGGTATATACTTAAAGATTATGTGCTTAAGTGCGAAAGGCAGCTAACTTGAATGCAGCAAACGTAATTAATTTCATACAAATGAGACCATAAATGCAGAAAAAATATAAATTAAGGCAGTTATCTTGACGATGCAGCTAAGCATCGAGGCAGCTAAGTGAATTATACTGTACGTTAAAATCCTATCAATGTATTGGGGTGCCGACCACTGATTTAAAAAGATGACAACGGAAAAAGATAGAAAAAAATACCTAACAATTAAGGGGTTATATACCTTCTTTGTCGAAGAAAAAGAGGAAAGTTCGGATTTTTTTTTAGGTATGTAGCAATTATTTAATTACACGGATGTTTTAATATTTTGATAGTACACATTATTAACAATGTTTGTGCAAAATTTGGTGGAAAAATATTAAATAGTTTTTAATGGGTGGCTGTTTCCTTTAGAGGCTTTTTTTTTTAGAGCCTTGCGGTGACAGTTCCCCAGGTCAAACAGGTCAACTAAACCAAAAAAGTAAAAAAATTTCATTAGTTTAGTGTAATTCCTTGTGCTTGAACGATTGGTTTTAAAATTTTTAGTTTTTTTATGCATACGGGAACGTTTTATGCTAAAAATGAACTTTTTGGTCTCTAGAAATTTTACTAAAAAATTCATTTCGGCGAAAAAAAAAGTTTGTGCGTAAAAAGTCGATCGTTCAAGCAAAGAAGAATTTCATTAAGAACATTTAAAAAAATTTGAAGTAAATCGTTTCAGTAATTTTTCGCCAATCCATGTCACCGCAAAGTCATTTTTCAAGAAACACCATATCGAGATATTCGCGTTTAAAGTTTCAAGTTCAGTTCAAGGCCGCGACAAGACGCGCGGTTAGGAGCGCTGTAACTTTTGTTCTACTGCCCCAATCTCTATGAAAATTTGGGAAAATGTTCTCAAGGAGTTGTTCTTAAAGATAAATCAATAAAATTTTTTTGAAAATAAAAAAGGTATATAACCCCTTAAGTTACAAAAAGATAAATTATAAAATAAAAATGTTACCACTAAAAATAAATAATATATAAGTATATGTGAATTAAGAAAAGCGTCAACGGCGGAATGGAAAGCGAAACCTAGTGCGAAACAAAGCGAACACTAGTGAATTAATAAAGACAAAGTATTTAAACAAGTTTGAATAAGTGTTATTTTCCGTTATTTTCCTAACAAAATAAACATAACAAGAGATCTAACAAGAAATGTTAAAATGTTAAAGCGCTTATAACAAGAAATGTATGTAAAATTTCCCATACAAACAGGCTAAAATTTTGAACGCATGGATTTCGAAGACTACAAACAGGCTAAAATTTTGAACGCATGGATTTCGAAGACTAGGTATAATAAATAAAACTATCCGATTGGGAATTTGAACTTGTATGGTATCCACGGAGAACAAGTTTGTGTCAAAATGTTGACACGTCCACTCCCGCCCCCAAAACAGAAATCTGGTTGTAGCGCCAGTTCGTTTATGTTTTTGGAAAATGTTGCCAAACTTTTCGATAGTTAATTATAGTTAACTATTATTATAGCAATTATAGTATAGTTAAATTGTGGCTGAAAGAGATGAGTACTGGGTATAATATAGTCGGGAAACTCGACTATAGTCGTTCTTTTTTGTTTATAATTAAACGAAATGTAATAAAATTGTAAATCTATTTTAAACACTACTTATAGTTAAAAAATACTTTAAATATTCTCTATACTAAATAGAGATACCTACAGATTTTTGAAGTCCAAAAGAATCAATAGTGTATATTATATAAATCTATTTAAAAATTTATTAAATAAAAAATAGTGTAATAAGGAAATGTTTTTATACTCGCTCATGAACTTTTTATTTATTTTGTAGAGGTATTTTCACTATCAAACAGTTCGATGAGCTCAATTTTATCAGGCGATGCCACAATGGGAAATAACAGCAATAAAAAACGGACAAACTCAAGTGAATTGACATTTAGTGGCAGATTCAATTCAATAAATCAACAGGAGGATTTAAATCAGAATAACTTCTGCATATTTTCCGCAAAAAATAATGTGTCTTCCCATCTAAATGAAATTCATAAACCATTATTTGAAGATTATAATGCTAATGACTCTAGTGCATCTTGTAGCCGTTTTTTTTCTATCGTCAATACACAAAATTCGGAAAAATTAAATGATTTTTATAAGCATAAACAATCAATCGCTTCTCAAATACACTTGCCAGTTGAGGCCCTTTGTCCTGTTTCAAACACGACTGAATTATTAAATGACACAACCGAGTCACGTTCCCAAAAAAAACGTGGTCGTAAAAAGGGATCTAGAGGTGTGGATGCTGTAATTTCTAAAGAGTCGTCTAGCTTATGCCAGCAAATCTTCTCAGGCAGCTCTGCTGTTAAAAAAGTCAAAACAACTAAAGAACTTTTTAATGAAATTCAGAGCAGAAAATTAAGTACTACTGCGCACTCTTCAACATTTCGTAATTTGACTAAATGTGCACGAATAAAAAGGAGAACGTCGTCATGTTCAGGTAAGTTTTATTATTCTCTTTTGGAATCTTAAGTCGTTGAAGGTTCTTAATTGTTCACAGAAGCATCAATAAATTCACCAAATTTAATCGAAAATTACTCGAGCAACGTTACTCTTTTGGATGTTGATAACTTTTCAAAAAAAGTTCGTGGTAAGACAGAAGATTCAATATACTTTCATACAGTATGATATACTTACATGTGAATAGTTTAGTGTCACGGCTTTAGACTTTAGTGTTACGGAATAAGCTCTTTTTATACCCTTGCAGAGGGTATTATAATTTTGGTCAAAAGTGTGCAACGCAGTGAAGGAGGCATCTCCGACCCGATAAAGTATGCATATATATTCTTGATCAGGATCACCTGAGTTGATATGAGCATGTCCGTCTGTCCGTCGGTCCGTCTGTCTGTCTGTTTCTACGGGAACTAGTCTCTCAGTTTAAAAGCTATCAACTTCAAACTTTGCACACACCCTTCTTTCCTTTGGTCAGTTTATCCGATCTTTCATAACGATCGGCCGACTGTATCTTATAGCTGTCATATAACTGAACGATCGGAAATAGTATTTGGTAGAAATACCAACTTTCGTATTTTTGAAGATAGAAGTTTGGGACTTTTTATACCCTTGCAGAGGGTATTATAATTTTGTCCAAAAGTGTGCAACGCAGTGAAGGAGACATTTCCGACCCTATAAAGTATATATATTCTTGATCAGGTCCGTCTGTCCGTCTGTCTGTCTGTCTGTTTCTACGCGAACTAGTCTCTCAGTTTTAAAGCTATTGTCTTGAAACTTTGCACACAGCCTTCTTTCCTTTGCACCCAGTATATAAGTCGGAACGGCCCGGATCGGCCGACTATATCCTGCTGCCATATAACTGATTGATCGGAAATGGTATAACTTTGGTGTTTTTAGAGTTAGAGAGTTCAAATTTGACACAAGAGCTATTTTTGGCAAAATATTACGACATGCCAAATTTTATAAGATTCGGTCGACTATATCCTATAGCTGCACGATCGAAAATGACCCAACTTTGGTGTTTTTGAAGATAGAAAGCTTGAACTTGGTACAGATTATATTTTTGATCAGTTGATCCAACCTACCAAATTTCATTAGGATCGGCCGACTAAATCCCATAGCTGCCATATAACTGAACGATCGGAAATGGTTTTTGGTAGAAATACCAACTTTGGTATTTTTAAAGATAGAAGTTTGGGACTTCTTTTAAATTTTGTATTATAATAAATTGGGTTATATTATCAAATTCTCATAAGGATCGGCCAACTATATCCGATGTTTGCGATATATATCCGGTTTTAACTGCAAGGGTATATCAACTTCGGCTCCGCCCGAAGTTAGCTTTCCTTTCTTGTTTTATTTAGTTATGTCCTCCACCTTTATATCGGGTTTTGTTTTGGCTTTTATGTAAGCCGAGATATCAACCTCAGTAATATCAGGGGCAAACCGAGATACAAATATATTTTTTGACGGAGGAATCTATAACGGGGCTTTGTTGTGTTGAGCGAACAATTTATTAAAACCTTGCAGTTAAAACCGAAAACGTCGGATATAGCTGGTCGATTCTTATGAGAATATCATAATATAACCAATTTATTACAATAAAGCTACAAACAAGTCCCAATCTTCTATCTTTAAAAATACCAAAGTTGGTATTTTTACCAAATACGATTTCTCATCGTTCAGTTATATGGTAGCTATAGGATATAGTCGGCCGATCGTTATTAATTTTGGAGGGTAAAAAAAAATAGAATCTATACAAAGTTCCAACTTTCCATCTTCAAAACACGAAAGTTTGGTCATTTTCGATCGTTCAGTTATATGAAAGCTATGATATAGTTAAACGAAATTTTGCATGTCGTATTATTTTGCCAAAAATAGCACTCATGCTTAATCCGAACTCTCTAACTCAAAAAACAACAAAGTTACAGCATTTCCGATCAATCAGTTATATGGCAGCTTTAGGATATAGTCGTCCAATCTCGGCCGTTCCGACTATACCACTTGTCATTTCGGTAGATTCCAAACTTGATTCTGAAGAGGTGAAATCACAAGAGTTTGGTGACATAGAATTTATTTGCATTAAAATCATTTTGTTCGCTAAATCTTTATACATTACGTGGCCATATATACCGCCTTTTTCTGAACTTCAGAGTTCAGAAACATTCAACCCCAGAGAATCCATGTCACCCTGTCATGGTTAATAAGGCTAAAGGTGTCCTTGGTTTTATTAAGGGGTTATATACCTTCTTTGTCGAAGAAAAAGAGCAAAGTTCGGATTTTTTTTTAGGTTCGTAGCAATTATTTAATTACAGGGATGTTTTAATTTTTTTATAGTACACTTTATTAACACTTTATTATTAACACTTTATTCCCCAAGTCAAACAGGTCAACTGAAACCATAAAAGTAAAAAAATTTCATTAGTTTAGTGTAATTCGTTGTGCTTGAACGATTGGTTTTAAAATTTTTAGTTTTTTTATGCATACGGGAACGTTTTATGCTAAAAATGAACTTTTTGGTCTCTAGAAATTTTACTAAAAAATTCATTTCGGCGAAAAATAGTTTGTGCGTAAAAAGTCGATCGTTCAAGCACAGAAGAATTTCATTACGAACATTTAAAAAAAAATTTGAATTAAATCGGTTCAGTAGTTTTCCGCCAATCCATGTCACCGCAAAGTCATTTTTCAAGAAACACCATTTCGAGATATTCGCGTTTAAAGTTTCAAGTTCAGTTCAAGGCCGCAACGAGGCGCGCGGTTAGGAGCGCTGTAACTTTTTTTCTACTGCTCCAATCTCTATGAAAATTTGGGAAAAGTTTCTTAAGGAGTTTTTTTCTTCAAGATAAAGCAATAAGAAAAATTTCGATTTTTTGAAAATAAAAAAGGTATATAACCCTTTAAAAGGTGATCAAAATAATTTAACGACCTCTATATTACTAATAGTTTATTCATTTCTTTGGTCCGCCCAAAGAAGTCCTCAATATGTATTACGAGGGTTGCTATATATATTTCTGGCCTAATAATGAAAATGCGAATATTTATGATTAAAAATGGTTTTTATTGTTTTTCAAAGTATTCTCCAGCATGAATTATACACTTTTGCATGCGCTCAAACCAATTGTCGAAGCACTTTGTCCACACCGATTGAGACACCTCCAAAACATGGTTTTTTGAACTCTTCAACAGCATCTTCTGGCGTCGAAAATCGTTGACCACGAATTTTTCTCTTGATGTGCGCGAATAAAAAGAAGTCATTAGGTGCCAAGTCCGAAGATTTCGGATTTTCTCCGAAGATTTCAGGGAAACAAATTGTGGTGTACCACTCAGAATTGACTGACCTATGTTGCTCAAGCGGAACAGTCGCCACATGACCTGTTTTACCGAAGAAACAGGCCACCATTTGCTTGAAGTGCTTCTTCCACGAACAACTTTCGTTGGATTTGGTTCGTCTTCGAAGACCCACACGGTCGATTGCTGTTTGGTTTAGGGCTTGTAAGCATAGATTCATGATTCCTTACCTGTGGCGATCTTATAAAGATCCGATGCCTCTATCCCACGGTATGTCACATGACGATCTTGCATTATCAGTTCATGCACGGCGTCAATGTTCTCTGGAACAACGACTGTTTTTGGACAAACTTCGACTTCGAGCGAGCGTCGGCCACACGATTGAATTCTTTTTACTAGTTTTTCACAGTGCTCGATCGTCATACAAAGATTTAATTTCAACGACGCACTCTTGTCGGGTTAATTCACGTCGAAAGCCGTGAAAAATGATTGCGCGAAAATGTTCTGAGCACGTTTCTTCTAAAATTGTCAAACTTCCCAATGAAAACGTCAGATGGCGCCAGGCAACACTTAGAATGGCCACTAGGCCAAAAATATATATAGCAGCCCTCGTACATCAATACCGCATAGAATCTATACATAAGAGTTTAGGGGTCTTCACTGGGATGCAAATCTTATCTTCCTTAAACTCTAAATCAGTGTTCAGCACGTCCCTATTCCGAGTGCATAGGAATTTCCTATTAGGAAATTTCTCATTCCTCCGTATCATCTCACTTTTTAATCCTTCAAACTTAAAATCTATTTTAAATTTTTTAGGCCATTCTTCCTCGTTATCTTCCTAATTTTTTAGACTGATTCTTAATAACTCGCTTACCGCGATTCGAGCGCACTTTATGCGGAAACGCCTCCTCGGTCGGTTTGACCTCCAAGCATTTTGATGAATCCAGAAATTCTAACTGTACTTATTGGTGCACTAACCATTCCCTAATTTCTTAAAGACCGCGAAAAAATCGATATTTGTGATATATCTCAGATTTTAATTGCAAGGATATATCAGCTTCGGTTCCTCCCAAGGTTAGCTTTCCTTTTTATACCCTTGCAGAGGGTATTATAATTTTGTCCAAAAGTGTGCAACGCAGTGAAGGAGACATCTCCGACCCTATAAAGTATATATATTCTTGATCAGGATCACCTCCTGAGTTGATATGAGCATGTCCGTCTGTCTGTCCGTTTCTACGCGAACTAGTCTCTCAGTTTTGAAGCTATCGTCTTGAAACTTTGCACACACCCTTCTTTCCTTTGCACGCAGTATATAAGTCGGAACGGCCCGGATCGGCCGACTATATCCTATAGCTGCCATATAACTGAACGATCGGAAATGGTATTGGTAGAAATATCAACTTTCGTATTTTTTAAGATACTTGGGACTTTTTTTTAGATTTTTTATTGTAATTGATTGGTTTTATTATAATGTAATAAGGATCGGCCAACTATATCCGATGTTTGCGATATATATCCGGTTTTAACTGCAAGGGTATATCAACTTCGGCTCCGCCCGAAGTTAGCTTTGCTTTCTTGTTTGTTTTTTGTGTTATTTTAAATACAAGTTTTCTACCAGAGTTTTAACATGCTCTTTCATTTTAAGAAATTATGAATATTTTTATATGGTGTCTAAATTATGCCATACTCATACTCATATTCATGCCAATAATACAATATATATTTTTTTTTTTTTTTTTTTTTACAGAAACTGTTAATACGGATAGTGATACTTCAGACCACTTCAGTAGCAAATCCCAAGAAGTTAAGGAGTGTACATCTTTGGATAGCAACAGCTGTAGTCGTCAGACTTCCTCATTCGTTAATTACTCTAGGAGCTTTACCACGGAAAGTTTAAATGATATTACCACACAGCTAATGCACCTTATTAACAGCTTTGGTAGCCCAATCAGTGTGCATGAGATTGAGGAATCTTACCAAGCTCAACTAGTACCCTGTAGTTGCATAATTTTTGAAAATGATATTAACTTGTTGAGAGAGTCGAAACCTTTCACATCAGATTACCAGGGAAATAAAGCCAATCCTGGCATAAAATGCAAAGGAAAGTTCGATCATAATACAAAACAAGAAAAGATAAGTACAAGTCATGAGCAGTCAACTGAGAAGGAAGAAATTCTGAAAAAACCTCAGAAGTCTATATTTGATTTAGATTTTGAAGATGAAGATGATTCACTGAAGTCTTTAGTGAACGCATTTCCAAAACCAGTAGCTAATAAAGCGACAGAGAAGATATCAAAACCACATATTTTTACAAATAAATTTTTATTGAGTTTGAGCAATACCAATATCGATGCTCAACTTGACAGCTGTAGTCAAGAAAATGTCGATGAGTTACCTAAAGTAATTCAATCTGTATTTACCATAAACGAGGATCCAGATTGCTTAGCAAAAAAAAGATTCTATGTGCAAACTAATAAAGTTAGTAGTTTTCACATTAATGCATTGCACAATTACTATATTCCAAATATTAATGGAAATTGGGATAGTATAGATGAATCTATTTCTTTCAAATCAATAAATGATTTTCTGAATACTTTATATTCTTACAATGTAACAAATGGATCTGACGTTGTACCCAAATACGGGTTTCTTCAATATGATCATATTAGAAAAGATTTAAGTTCGCTTAAATTTTTCAAACCTACCCAAGTAAAATCTTTTCAGAAAGATTTTTCACCTTTTCTTGGAGTTGCTAAATGCTTGCCAACATGTAGAAAATATAAGCGCAAAACCTTAGATAGTCATAATGAAAGTGCAGACCAAACTTTTAAAAACAAGCTAAATCGGGACTGTCCACTCCAGATCGATACTGAAATACCAATCTCTGATATGATTACCTACAACAACAGCTTGGAAAATATGAAATACAAAGAAAGCTATTTTAATCCTGCCCTAGTCGATCATTTTGATAGTAGCTATATTTCAGCAATCAGTAACAATTTGCTAACATTCGCTAATAAAAAAGAGATACGTGATGGACATGCTGTGGATCTAAAAACTCAAGACAATGCCAACCCTATTTGTAAAAACAGTTGTAAGTCTCCAACTTTAAAAAACGTGTCAAATATTGGTAAAAAAAAAGCTCAAATAAGAAGACACGAAAAAAATCGTAAAAGACGTGGTCCAGGTGGTGGACAAAAACAAGATTCTGAGGAAAACACTTATTTAATGAGGAAAATCAAACGGATTAAAATAAGCTTAAATGACACAATAACTGACCGGAGGGGTGAAAATAATAGCAGTGAAAATGACGATACTGTGAACCATATTGAGGTTGATGGACAACATGGGAAAAATGAATATGAAATTGTGCACCGTACGAGCAATGATGGCGGTGTTTCTAGCAATCATATCGTATTGACAATCAAAAAAACTCCAAAAAATTTATTCGAAACTGAAATTTTAAAAGAATCGTCATCCACCCCTAATCTCAACTTCTCAACCCTCTCAAATTCATTAATTCTTTCCAAAGAAAGTTTGCCTATCCGTCATCGGAATCGTCATCTTGATCGACAAACAATTCGAAAGTCTTTTTCTCGTAAAAGTAATACCGTTGATTTGGACTTAAAGCATTGGTTTCGCTTTAAGGACAAAGTGAAAAATACTGTTAAAAAAAAACAAAGACTTCATAAGAAACTTTTTTTTGAAGATGAATTGTTAACAGAGAATTTTAGGGGTCAAAAACACAGAATAATAAATTACAGCAGTAGTAGCTCTAGTTTCGATGACAGCGATTTTGAATACATTGCAGTGAAAAAAAAAGGTGATGCAAAAAAAATCGCAAAATCAAATATAAAAGAAATTGATAGAAGCGTTCAATCCGTGCTACCTGTAAAATTAGTTGAGGACAAAGACGTACTTTCGCTGGGTAGCGACGAAGAAAAAGATATTAATTTAATTCATTCTACTTCTAAAATAATAAAAAACAATGTTCATGAATATGAAATTTTAAGAAACAATGGTATGCTGTTATCATTCAATTCGATTTTTGCTAAGAAACACAGCTTAATAAATAATTTAAATTCTGTTGGAGGTAATTTACCTAAGGAAGAAAAAGGTTCCCTGGATATATTACAAACTGAGCTCAATAACGTTTGTAATATAAACGAGGATGTTGAACTTAGTTGTTTAAAAAATAGCATCCATGTTAACAATAGTAAAATTGAACTTATTGGACAAAAATCATCTTCAATTGGAGCCTTATTAAATAATCAAAAATGTCATGATGATGATGAATGTTTTGAAGCAGTCGAGTCTCCTAGTATTGAGCATCGTATTGGTATTCGCCTATCAAAGAATAATTTAGACAACGTTGTCCAATCTACTTCAACAATCCAAAAATTTAAGGAATGGCACCAAGTTCTTCAATTAAAATCTTACAACGATGAACCTTTAATTGTTATGCCATACGTGGTTCTTGAATGAACTTTGAATTCACAAGCTGTTTGATCACAAGCATTTAAAAAAAAACACCATCTAGCTAATAAAAACACAACTGAATTTAAAAAAAATAAAATTAAAATATGTGTAATCTTGTCAATGTTTTTTAGATGTCTCTTTTTGGTAATTCGTTATTATTAATAATTTAAGCAGCTTATGATATGTTTTAAAAAAGCAATGAGAAAAAATTATTTTACATATTGTATATGTTTGTAGGTTTAGTATAAGAAAATTTAATACTTCTATAAAAATTCTTTTGTTACATAAAATTTTTTTTTAAACATTTTTTTGAGAAAATACTTCAGTTATTTTTTCAACCATAAAACTGGAAAATTGTGCAGTAACCGTAAATAAACCTGATTCGTTCTTACATTTTAAATATTATTCTGTTTCTGCGATGTCGAATTTATGCTTTCCTTTCACGATTTCAGCCGATTTGTGTGTGCATAAACGCCATTTCGTGAATTCTGCAACACACGAAAGATGACTATAATGTCAGCCTCAAAGAATGAATTGGTTTACAAATCAGGTTGCAATTGAATGAAATTTCATCTTAGGGACTTTGGAAATTAATTTTTCATATATTCCGAGTTCATATTTTCCGACTGTAAATGATGAATTTAAGTTTGTCCATCGCGTTGCTTGGTTTCACTTTTTTTGAAAGTCTGACCAAACGACAATACCTAATTTTATACTGATGGCATCTCTACTAAATCCAAATCACGAAATTATATGTGTCGCATAAGCAGAGGTTATTTTTATATCACGCTTTCAAGAAATAGTTATTTCCATCGCATAAACATAGTATTATATATGAATTAATTTAAATTGTTTCAAGCCAAAGCAGAACCGAGCAGAAAACAAAACCGACATATTTTCAAACAAAGCTATCTATCCTTGAAGTAGCTTGGGACCGAAAAAGAAACAAATATCCGAGGAACGGCCAGAACCAAATGCTACCTTTAATATGTTGACATCTATTGCGACATCTTCAAATATGGCCGTGACAAACTAATGCAAACCACGAGTCGTAAGGATGATGCTGATGATCAGTTCGAAGATCAGTGTGAGAAACATCCCCGCACAACTGGTTTGACCTTTAGAAAATCTGATAATAAGCTATTCTCGGAAAATACCGACAGCAAATAAGATTTGCTGATTGAATGATTTATGCGTAAGGTTGATCTGTCATTTTAGGCGGACAGCACGTTTTTGTTCTGTTCTGTTTTTTTGTTTTTTTTGTGCTGTTCGGACAGCACGTCTGTCTGTTTCTTCGCGAACTAGTCTCTCAGTTTTAAAGCTATCGACTTGAAACTTTGCACACACCCTTGTTTATAATATATAAGTCGGAACGACCGGGATCGGCCGACTATTTCCTATAGCTGCCATATAACTGAACGATCGGAATTATTTTTGGTAAAAATACCAACTTCGTTTTTTTTTTAAGATTGTGTTTAGTCGTAACTTGTTTTTAAGAATAATATGTGAGGGAAATACGTAGAACTCGCAACTTGGGCTACTTAGCTATGAGACGGGGCATAGCAAGCTACGAGCAAATAAAATAACCCCCAACGAGTCCGAGCTGCAAGATATCTACGTGAAATATATTTGAATTGTACCGCCTAAAGATATTATCGCTCTGTTAAGTACTCGTTCTTGTCACTCGCTGCGTCGCAGTTTCTAATGGAAGAAGAGAAGAAGCAGATAGAAACTAGTAATAAATTAACTTCCATTGAATTCGGTTGATGCGTTTCTACTGGGACCATAGTTGCTGGCCTGAAACGGGCATTTTCGCACTTTGCCATTTTGGAGCAAACATTTTTTAGCGCCCCCGGGTGGACTCAGAAGGACGTATCATCATATATACCTAGCAGATCAGCTATACGTACATCCGCAATATCAGTTTGGGCTTGTACTCGACACGCCGCTGGAATTCATTGTTCATATAGCACATCAGCTGGTATTCGCTAATCGCTAAGTAACAAATTGATAGCATTTTGGTAAATGAACTACATACATAAGCCTGCAAAATATCAGCCAAGGCGTAAGTTTTGAGGCAAACACGTGTCAAGATTACAGGTTGGTTCTTTAGTTGCTCGTTGCCGTTCTTTCTCTCTTCACATGCACATACCATCACACACATACATACAGCAAAAATACAGTTCATCGATCAGAGGGAGCTTTGAAATTCGTTGCAGCACCTTAATTAATCTTAGCCCGAGTTTTGTGGATTCGAGTTGTTTAATTTGTCTCTGCTGTAGAGTAACGGCTCACGCTTGGACTTCTTGGGGGGTCTTTCCAGTCCATCGTGTTGGTTTTGACCGCGATTGGACGCAAGATTGTGTAAATAAAAGTAGTTTTATAATTGTTTGGTTTTTGATAAAATTTTTTTATTTTTTAACAAATAATAAAACGATACGTTAGGTTCAAAGCGGTAGCTTCGAATATGCCTGTAATGGAAGGATGTGGTTTTCCTTGTTTCCGTGGCTCCCATTTTTTACTGGAGTTGTTGCATGTGAAATAACGTGGAACATCACCATACGCCAATGTTTTCGCGAATTGGCCAAAAACATCAGGTTTTTGACACAATGTAAAAAATTCAGTTAGAGTCGTTTTCGGAGCTTCGAACGCTCTTTGGAGAACATTTTCTTCAGTGGTATACACGTTGGCCGTTTTCAAGATGTATTGCCAGATGTTGGACAGCAGAAACTCTTTCGTGGATGGGAAAGCTCAGAATATGCCAAATAGCTTCATTGCTGCTAATGTATCTGCCCATTTGGTATCGTGCTATTTCGTCATTTCTATTTATGTTGGTAATTACTACACGTCAACAACACGTGGTAATTATGCTGTTAAAATTTAGCTTATGTGACACGATCGTAATTGTTATGCCGTATGTGGTTCTTGAATGAACTTTGAATTCACAAGCTGTTTGATCACAAGCATTAAAAAAAAACACCATCGAGCTAATAAAAACACAACTGAATTACAAAAAATAAAATTAAATTATGTGTTACAAAACTATCTGTCCTTGAAGTAGCTTGGGACCGAAAAAGAAACAAATATCCGAGGAACGGCCGGAACCAAATGCTACCTTTAATATGTTGACATCTATTGCGACATCTTCAAATACGGCCGTGACAAACTAATGCAAACAACGAGTCTTAAGGATGATTCTGATGATCAGTGTCAGAAACATCCCCGCACAACTAGTTTGACCTTAAGAAAATCTGATAATAAGCTATTCTCGGAAAATACCGACAGAAAATAAGATTTGCTGATTAAATGATTTATGCGTAAGGATGACCTGTCATTTTAGGCGGATAGCACGTTTTAGAGAGTTCAAATTTTGCATGAGTGGTATGTGTGGCAAAATAATAAGACCTATCAAATTTCAAAAGGATCGGCCGACTATATCCTATAGCTGCCATATAACTGAACGATCGGAATTATTTTTGGCAAAAATACCAACTTCGTTTTTTTTTGAAGATTTAAGTTTGGGACTTTTTTTAGATTTTGTATTGTAATAAATAGGATATATTATTATATTCTCATAAGGATCGGCCAACTATATCAGATTATTGCGATATATATCCGGTTTCAACTGCGAGGGTATATCAACATCGGATCCGTCTAAAGTTAGCTTTCCTTTATGTTATTTGTTGTTTTTGTATTTTTAATTAAAAGCCTGCAAATATTATTTGCCACGCAAGTAAGAATGCGTCTAAAAGCTGTGCACTTACTTGGAAAAACTTCTGAGGTAAAAATATCCGGCTTTAACCAAGTTTCTGCAAAGGATTTTTCTGCAAAAGTGTGCGACGCAGTGAAGGAGACATCTCCAACCCCTAAAGTATATATATTCTTGATCAGGATCACCTCCTGAGTTGATATGAGCATTTCCGTTTGTCCGTCTGGCTGTTTCTTCGCGAACTAGTCTTTCAGTTTTAAAGCAATCGACTTGAAACTTCGCACACACCCTTGTTTCTTTGCACGCAGTATATAAGTCGGAACGGCTGACTATATCCTATAGCTGCCATGTAACTGATTGATTGGAAATGCTATGACTTTAATGTTTTTAGAGTTAGAGAGTTCAAATTTTGCATGAGTCCTATGTTTTGCAAAATAATGCGACCTATCAAATTTCATATGGGTCGGCCGACTATATCTTGTGGCTGCCATATAACTGAACGATCGGAATTATTTTAGGTAAAAATACCAACTTCGTTTTTTTTTTTTGAAGATTGAAGTTTGGGACTTTTTTAAGATTTTGTATTGTAATAAATAGGATATATTATTATATTCTCATAAGGATCGTCCAACTATATCAGATTTTTGCGATATATATCCGGTTTCAACTGCGAGGGTATATCAAAATCGGATCCGCCCAAAGTTAGCTTTCGTTTATGTTATTTGTTGTTTTTTTGTATTTTTAATTAAAAGCCTGCAAATAAGCTTCTGATCGATACCAGAAATGGTTTTAATTGAAACCTCGAGCGTGAGGTGATTTGTATCCTCTGGGGTTGAAAGGGCAAAGCTCTGGAAAGAGTGGTACCATCAGGATCAGATACAAAACATAAGTCTAAAAGCCGACCTAACAAAATGCTAACATGGTCAATTTGACCAAGGGACATGTCAAACATGCCCGCAGTGAATTCATAGTGCGTGATAAGAGATAAAGATGGTGAGTTCGACATTAGACCCATTCAATTGTGGGATATTAAAGTCACCCACAGCTACAAGCTGTTCACAATCGGATTTGTTATAAAAATATAACAAGAAAGAAAAGCTAACTTCGGACGGAACCGAAGTTTATGTATAAACCTTTGCAGTTAAAACCGGATATATATCGCAAAAATCGGATATAGTTGGCTGCTCCTTATGAGAATATCATAACAAAATCAATTGATTACAATAAAATATGTAAAAAAGTACTAAGCTTCTATCTTCAAAAATACCAAAGATGGTATTTCTACCAAATACCATTTCCGATCGTTCAGTTATATGGCAGCTATAAGATATAGTCGACCGATCGTTTTGAAATTTGGTGGGTCTTATTAAGTGACCAAAACTAAAATCTGTACCAAGTTCCAGATTGACCCAAAACACAAAAGTTGGGTCACTTCCGATTGTTCAGTTATATGGCAGCTATACGGACGGACAGACGGACATGCTCATATAAACTCAGGAGGTGATCCTGATCAAGAATATATATACTTTATAGGGTCGGAGATGTCTCCTTCACTGTGTTGCACACTTTTGGACAAAGTATAGTACCCTCTCCAAGGGTATAAAAACGGGTTGAATAGCGGATTCCAGTGATCCGACGAAGAACCTCATGTCACCAAATTTTTCTGATTTTACCTCTTTAGAAGTAAGATT